ATATCGCCCGCCAGTTAGCGAATTGTACCTGTTCTTCCAATCCGAACCAGCTAACTCTGCTGCTCCACCATTCGACGATGAAACGGTTATGTTTTTCGTCTGTAAATATAAAAAAGAAAGTTCAGAACTATGGTGAAACAGATAAAGGCGATTTTTGGACAATAACAAGACTGCGTAAAAGATCAATGCGGGAAACAAGTGTTAGTGATACCGCTGAGATGCTTTAAGCTCTGTTATGTCAGGCCCTGTGTCAAATAAAAAGTAGAAAAATATAGGGAAGACTGAAAAATAGGATTTTAGTCGGTGGAAAATAACCAAATTCATGGCATGCTTATTTTACAGTACCTTTTCCTGTATCTCCTTCATCTTCTTTTCCACTAGTGATGCCGGAATGCCATCTTCACTGCTCTGCGCTTCCAGCAACATTCCCCACAGCTCGCCTGAAATTACAGCAGCAAAATGAAAGTAGCATTCATAAGCATTATAAAATAAATCCATCGAAATTTCACACGACACTTTTCAAAGAAATAAGCATGTCGAGAGCTAAATCTTGTCAAAGCCTTCATACTTTTACTAGTAAAAAACTCTTCGCTCAAACAATCATTCATGTGGGGGAATATGAAGACTTTCTGTACCTACGCAGAACTTAACAAAAACCGCTAGCTCTCTTTGCTCAAAAAGCCGACAAAGGCCGCTAATCAGCTAAACGGAGGGCAAAACGTTGAGTGCCTACGGTCAGACTCAGCGACTGATCAGGTCTACAGAAATCACGAAGATGCTCAAACAACTACGACCACAAAGACGGCTCTCAGAAATTCAGGCTCACAGGCACGATAAAAGCCATAATCTTAAGGTTACATTCTGATCAACTATTTTTTCATATCCTCACTTTTCTTCTCGGCATCGATGCAGCTGACAACTTTTCCATTCGCTATTTTGAGCTTCTCTCATCCACACCATTCCACACAGATGCATGCTCAAATGCATCTTTTCACTGTACTGGCGGGTGTTACTTTTTTTTCTTAACATTACGTAAGTACTGTTAAACAATCTGCTTTGTCCCCCTGTTGTGCCTCTTTATCCCACACAATCAGTCCGTCTCTTTTTCCTGGCGTGCACTGTTCTGTTAATACTGTTTACACAAAACCAGAAACGGAGTATTTCACTGGAATGTGCTGTAACTTGCTGCTCCCTAGGATGTGTTGTTTCATGGCTTGCTGGGTTACCTAACTTCTTAGCAAGCGCAGTATTCCAAATTTCAAAGCTACGTAGCAGTAGATAACGCAGTGAAATTATGCAATACCCAGTCGATGCTGTTATTACTGCAAGTCTTGTAACTTCCTGAAAGCCTCTCTTTCTTTTTGTTCTAAAATGACGTTCACCCACAGAAGTTGTGTACCCGATTCTTCTTACTTTCAAAGCAGAAAAAAAAGTGGCCGAAGATTTCAATGGATACAATAAGGAGACCACCAAACGGAGAGAGCCAGCGGTTTTTTTTAGAGCCATAAGTAAAAGTAGGCTTGCGCGTTGTATTAACAATTATCATCTTTATCAGTAGTGAGAAAAGAATGTAAAAAAAAAACACACCCATGAATTCTCGGGCCCGTCGTGCGTTCAGGAAACCGGTCAAATTAATTTGCATCACTTTTGGATTGAGAGATTTCTCTTCGAGCTGACTGAAGACGTATTCGATGAGCACGTCATCTTCCATGCCCAGTATGTCGTTAAGTTTGGCAGTAATCCATGGCTTCAGGACGTCCAAATTCACTCGATCCATGCAGATCTTAACCTCACAAATACTCACTCACGGTCTCTTCAAAATATATTCATTAGTAATCAATAAAAAAACAATACACATAAAATGACCTAAAAAATTTCTCCATTCCAGCTACTCAGCCGCTATCAGCAGTTTTCTGATGCCGCACAGAACATTTACGCTTTTCGTAATCCCCTAGATGTACTGCTTGCGAGCCTCAAAAATGTATTTCCTTGATAAATGAAGAAACAATGCTCAAGTAAGCCACTGCCCTGGCACTGAAATGAATCAAAGATATCAGGAAGACTGCCATCAGTAGAGATAAGCTAACCTGTGATAAAAAAGAAGAGAGGTTGCCTAAAGAAAAAAGATTAGCAAATTTTTTTTTTTTTTTAAATTATTTTCAGCAAACAAATTTAGTCAATATTTTGCAGACTGGACTGGGAGCACAGTTCAAAGATCAAGAGAGGAGAGACCATTCATTTACGCTTCGCAGATAAATAAAAGAATAGAAGGATTTCACTTGAATGTCAAAATTCCGATTGGGAATAAGATGAGATGTTGCAGACGAGAAGAAATGCTGCAGGGGTCAATGAACATATCAAAGAAATGAGTCTAAAAATTCCCTTATCGAAAACGATGGTGATGCAAAGTTACCAGTACGCGACTAGATAGCACATACAGGGTAATGACTGGTAAGAATTTAACAACCAGGCCTACATACAGTCAGCAAATTCACGATCATAAGCCGGAGATTGCACACAGAACCACTGGGCATTGGCACAAATTTCACAAAATTTCCAGTGCCCTCAGAGCTTCGAAAAAGAACGATCGTACCCATCTCTTCAATACCACTGAGACGAAGTAAGTGAAGTCCGGATACGGAGTGATTACTGGTCAAGGCATAAAGTAAACACTGACTATGACGGTGAGAAAAATGAAGCAAGGGATACTTTGATGTGTCGCCTTCCGATCAAGCAACTTAAATGTGTGGGAAGCAAAATAACTGCAACAAAACCCTCTCAACGTTCCGTAAGCTATAGCAGCTGGTGGGAGAACTTGAAAAATAGAAGAATGGAAGGATTTCACTTGAATGTCATGTGTATGAGGATATTTTATGACACAGTCTGTGCTTCATCCCTTAGCTGATGCAGTCCAAATAATGGTGCACTGCTGCTGCTGGCAAGACTGTCGATGACCCTTTCTTCCGCGAACTACTTACAAGCTGATGGCAGTTTAAGGTTCGATATGTTATATATTTCCAATGGGATGGTGAGCAATACTATCTCAATACCTTCGGCCTATTGCAGAATTAAAATTGCAGAGAACTTCAGAAGGGCAATAAGAACACATCTCCCATGCACGAACCCGTAAGTTGCTAGTTTCAGATATGGCAGTCAAAGCGAAATGAAAATCAGCTGGCGCATAGGAATTTGCTTAACTCAAAACGGGTTTATCTCGTTGCTAAACTGATCCGCACTGACGGCACATTCCCAAACACTACTGTCTCTAACTTTTCCAATCTTTTGTATATTATTGGTCAAAACCAAGACAAAATGCCCCCAATATTTTGCTCTCAGTGAGACGGGAGCACTCGAATAGTCCTAGTGGCAGCAAATGCCACCAGCAATCACCCGCTGGCAAGGCTGTTGATGGCTCCTTCTCCTGAGGATTGCTTACAGGCAAGTTGATGGCGGATTTTATTCCTTGGCATATACCAGTACCAAACCATCATCGAAATGAATCGCAGAGGGACTGGCTGCCACACCAGTAAAGAAAAACCTTCGATCTATTGCACGACAACAGTGCTACTCTATTGCACCATGTCTGTCGCATTTTGAATACCATCACATTTATTTCAACGCGAATCATGCGTGTGAAAAAAAAAAACCGCCCCTATACATACGCGGATTCAGGGAAGTCTCCTGTGGCGCGGGGAGGGAGGCAGGAGAGGAATAAGAAAATGAGGCTCCCCTCGGG